ATCGGACATTCGACGGCCTGGGAAGCCCCCCCCCCCCCCCCCCCCCCCAGTCAGAGAGTGCTCGAAATAGCCCAGTACAGTAAGGGTTAAAATCATATACATACTGTAATCCATACAGGCATGATTCGATGAAAGGGACTTGGTAACATTGTTCAGATGAGATAAAATGGTGCTTAGGTTGTGGCTTCAATGCCAGATGTACAATTAAAGATAATCTAAAAGTTTGAGTGAAATGGACCATTATCAATGATAAAAATTGGGAAAAACTGATCTGATCGATTCCTTAATTCTCCCAACTATATTAGTACAGTTTAAATACATTTTAGGTGAATGTAAATTATTAATAAAAAAATTGGGAGAAAGTGATCTGATTGATTCCTTAAATCTCCCAACTATATTAGTACAGTTTAAATACATTTTAGGTGAAAGTAAATTGTCACAAAGCAATGAATTGGCTTTATATACCATTCCAGACATTTAAGTGTTGACAGATTTTTAAAAGCCTGTCTTATGTCTTATTTTCAAGGAAAAACGGTTGGGAAAATTAAAAAATGGTTGTGAGAATTTACTGTTCATCACTGTAAGAGGGTGTTGCACAGTGACGCCTTCAAAGAAAAAACATAAATTATCTTTGTAGTTTGAGAATTTTCACAGGATTCTTTTGCCTGTTAGAGGGTAAGTGCAGTAAAAGGAATATAATAAGTAACATTTTATATAAACATTACAGTTTGTTCATCAACCTTCAACAATGTTCCTGAGTCACTTTAAGAAAAAAATAGTTTAAATGAAAATGAATATTTACTCTCAAGAATATTATAAATGGCTTCGGAGAATATTATAAGCTGCCTATGGTCGATGAAAATTTTTGACAGTGATGATGGTGATGGTATATAGAGGGACTGGTAATGGTACTGGTTGAAATGAGTATTGTGGTGGCAGTGGTGATGTAGATGGCTGCAGTGTTAGCCATCTGATTGTGGAGGTGGTGATGATGACCGATGACAATGATGATGGTTGGATGGCGGTGGTGGTGGCGGTAGTAATGGCTGAAGTCTTAGTAATGATTATGGTGGTGGTGGTGGTTGTAGTAGTGTTGGTGGAGGCAGCAATACTGGTGGTGGTGGTGGTGGTGGTGGTGGTGGTGGCGGTGATAGTTATAGCAATGCTCATGGGCATAGTGCCTATGACATCAATGATAGTCATTGTGGTGGACAAAGTGGTACCAATAATAAAAGCTTACAACTTTGAGAGCATTCTCGATTTCTTTGAAGACAGCTTCACACTTGAACACCTCTGCTGCTGTTAGGTTGGCCTGAAGGTTATACCTGCACAAGTAATAAATACCAAAAAAAGTATAAAATCGATAATCACAATTAAAATATAATAATAAAAATAAGAGGATAAGAGAATTGTCTATCCACCTTTAATACCGAGACTATCACAAAGACATTTTCTTATTCTATAATTATCATTTTCTTGTTGTCATTGTCAAAAAATTGAGAGAGTTACAAGATTTCGTCATTTTTTCAATTACCAAAACCTCATTTAAACAAAAAGATACAAGACATCCTTTAATTGATAATTTGCCAGACTTTCTCCAGACATTTTGTTTTATTTGTGATCATGAAATAAATGGTATACTACACTGTGCTTTGCAAAATCTTAGAAATTTAAAGGATGAAAGATACTACACATGTTATGCAATCAAAGTGTCCCAATTTTTTCCTTCCTTGTTTAAATAATAACTTTGGTCTGTCTTGCGCTAGGAAACCTATTCTGCATAATTTACACACTACCACTTCTCCAAGCTAGATCAATGTAGTTGAATCGTAGTTTCTTATTTCAGTCCCACATGTACGATTTAAAGTTTGTGAACCTACCTTGGTCTGTCTTGCTCTGGGAAACCCATTCTTTACAATGTACACACTGCCACCTCTCCAAGCTAGATCAATGTAGTTGAATCTTAGTTTTCTTATTTCAGTCCCACATATACGATTTAATGTTTGTGAACCTACCTTGGTCTGCCTTGGTCTGGGAAACCCATCCTGTACAATGCACACACTGCTGCCCCTCCGAGTCCGATGTTATGCTGCAAGGCTAGTTTGGCTCCCTCTACCTGTCTCTTATCTGCCTTGCCTCGTAGCTGCCAACAAAGCTCAGCACACTGGGCTAGACCTGAAGGGGGGGGGGGGGGAGAGAGAGAGAGAGAGTCAGAGAGAGTTAGAGAGAGTCAGAGAGAAAGAGGGAGTATGTGTGACAGAGAGAGAGAGAGAGAGGGAATGTGTGACAGAGACAGAGACAGAGAGAGAGAGAGAAAGAGAGAGTATGTGTGACAGAGAGGAGAGAGAGAGAGAGAGAGAGGGGGGGGGGGGGGGGGAAGAGAAAGAAAAAGAGTGGGGCATATGGACAGAGACAAAATAGAGTAAAAACAATGTACAATGTACAAAGCACAATATAGTACAGAGAGATATACAGAAGAAATGTAGATAATTGAGAAACAGAAAACAAGGAGGAGAGAGGGACAGAGAGAGACAGGGTATTCAAGATTTTTTTAAAAGCAGTGGATATAGAAAACAAGAAACAGAATGATGATAATCACTTGTTGTACAAATAATTATCTGTTAACTTAGGCCATAGTACATATGTGCACACAGTCAATTTATGTGTGAAACTAGCTGGTTAGAAATAGAATACCAAATAAACCTCTAAAAACATACTACATGAAGATGCCAGTGATACATGAAAAAGGGCAACAATAAAATGATTAACCTTACATATCAATAATGCAGCGATCAGTTACTAAAATTTAAGGTAAGGACACAAATATTGCACTCACCAATAGATGGTATATGTAACAGGTTAGGGCATGCACAGCACTAGTAGGACTACCTATATACACATTTTTGAATACCTAACACCATGCTACCCTATCATACAAGCACCCAGGGGTAGTACTCCTTATCTCGATTAATTGGGTTAAAATTAATCTATGCAACCTTTACCCCTGGATCCCATGTCTGCTACAAGCAGTGATTGTTTGCAATCAAAGATTATTATTAACGTATCCTAGAGTTAGCAATTTGATGTTCAAAATAGACGTGGACAAAGACTTCCTATCAGTTCAGATGATAATCTAATGATGAATTCCCACCAGCTCCTATAATAGCAATCTAATTATCCTTCTTGAGGAAGAAAAAAAAGGGGTGAAAATTTGGAAAAGGTCCCTAAAGCAAAGATTTACTTGTACGAGAAGGTCAAGACCTATCATTTTAGAATAAATGACCAGTAATGTCTACCAATACATATGGACAAAACAGAGAGGGAGTGGGATGGAGAGAGGGGGTGGGGAGGGAAGAGGGGGGGGGGGGGAGAGTAGAGGGAGGGTGGGGAGGGGAAGGGGAGAGGAAGGGGAGGATGAGGAAACAGGAGGAGGGAGGGGGAAGGGTGTGGGAAGGAGAAGGGGATGGTAAGGGAGAGTGAGAGGGGGTGAGGAACCAACCCTGATATATACCATGTACACCAAGTATGGGATCCAGCAGACTGTATGTACATGTAGTTGATAAGCCTACCAATTCTATTCTTATCAGTTGATAGGAAGATCAATCAAAGCTTGGTTAATGATTAACCTTGGGTCCAAAGCTCAAGCACAGAGATACCAACTTCAAGAGGTGGGCGGACAAGGGGTAGGAACCACTCTGTAAGTCCATACCAGGGAATTTTTGGAATAATTTACCATTTAATTTGAGAATTATAACTTCCTTAGAGACCTTTAAATCAAAGCTGAAATCTCATCTTTTGAAACAATTCCTGTACTCGGCACTATGACACTCATCCAAACTCTCTTATTCTTTCTATTTTTCTTGTGCGCCGTGGAATAGAATTGTCTAAATATACCGTGCTATATAAATGCATATTATTATTCTGGACACTGGCATGAAGTAAAGCAAGGATAATAATAATAATCTGGATTTATAGAGCGGTTTATACAGAATACCGACTCTAAGCGCTTTACAAATATTATTCAGTGGTCATCAGATTGATTCACACATAATGTTCACCATTTCCACTCTCTGGGGAGTATTCCTACCATATGGTCACCGTGAAGGCATATGGCAATTATGAATGAAAAGGCTTTCGTCATGGAAAATGTAGATGAATGCCTTGCTAAAGGACATTAGTGTCGTGTCGGGAGCAAACTCACAACCTTTTCATTTCAAGTCAAGTGCTTGAATACTAATCAACTAATCAACTAATCAACTAATACGACACCTCTACAACCTCACCTCTACAAAATCAACTACCACACAATCATATATAAAAATTACACCATATTCTTTCTTGGAGAAACAAATTGACAGAAATTTTAATCAGCTTAAAGGTATAGACCAGTATTGGAAACGCCCTCTCCCCCCTCTCAAAAAATGAAATGGAAGCTCTTATTACCAATCATGTGAAAGAATATGTTTTGACTAATACGTGATGATACAATTTTTGCCGGGAAACTGCCTACTAATTGATATATTTGGTAAATTATTATATCTATCCAGACTGGATAGATATCGCATATTCCCATATACATCTTTCTGTGTACAACAGTGCTTGTAACTTTACCAAGATTGGGCCAAATTTTGTATCATTTTGATGATTTCAAAACCTTGCAGTAAACACCAATACTTATATGCTAGATGATCAACCTTTTCTGATTGATTCCACCACGTTTCTTTCACAATGCAATCGCATGACCAGAGCTGGTCTATACCTTTAAATGAGCTCATCTAAGACAAAAAAAGCCTATACATGTATATCATAGCATTTCTCCTTTAGTCCCACCTGTAGCTCCTAGAGGATGTCCCTTTGAGATTAGACCTCCACTTGGGTTGACCACAAACTTTCCTCCATACGTGTTATCACCACTGTCAATGAACTCTCCAGCTTTACCTGAAAATACAAGACAAATTGGATGGTTTCAGAGTAAGCAAACCCACTCCTTCCTGAGTTTGTGTTTTGATCTTGGGACATACCATTCTTAACATTTTTTTTTACTTGTATACTTAAAATTAACAGTCAGTTTCCTCTAAAAAAATTAAAAGATAATACCATTAAGTTTGGGTAGGCCTAGTGCATTGACCCTTGAACATTACATTTCCCATATTTTTTTTTTAAATTAAAATAATTTACCATTACCTCCCGTACATATGACCTTGACCGATGTTTATAGGTGTTTTATCATCCTTCTAATTATTTATTTACTGACATCTAAAACACGGAGAACCTCAAAACAGAAAGACCAGGGACCTGTTTCACAAAGCCTTTTTTCAATGACAAGTGACAAGAATCAGTGACAAATCTGCTGATAACCAATCAGAAGCAAGGATTTCAATAGCTTATAACAAAAACTGTCATGTGTCACTGATAACAAGTTTTGTGAAATGGGGCCCTGGCTAAATATCCTAAAGGCAAAACCTAATAATTTGCTATACTTTTGCTATCAAGACAAGCACATACAGATTGTAAATTATTAATATTTTTGTTTTATTGAATTAATTTACTAATTTATTTTATTTTATTTATTGATTCATATATTTATTTCATTTCATTTTTTTTTTTTTTTTTTTTTTTTTTTTTTGGGGGGGGGGGGGGGTGGTTATGCATGTAAATCCCAAATATAAGACTGATCCAAAGACCACCATTTGGATCACTGTCCCACATGTACTTACCTTCAGGGCAGAGTCCCAGGGCTTCGTACGTGATGAGTTCATTGGCTGCGAAACAGTCGTGTAGTTCAACCACGTCAACATCTGCCACACTAGCTCCAGCCTTGCTGAACAGTGTTTCTGCAGCTCGCTTTGTCATGTCATATCCAACCTAATAAAAACAACGTGGCAGTCGGTTATTGAGGTCAAGTTTATACTCATAAATCTCTTTTAGTCTCCTTCCTTTCTTCTTCCATTTCTTTTGAGGTCTGTGGTTTTTTTACCTGACTGCTATAAAGAAAACATGGGTTGCTTATAATTAAGCAACAAGAGGACCGACGGCTTTAAGTCCTCTCTGAGGGACTTGGTAATGAGGATTAATGCCTTAACAAAGGGCACTACGCATCGATTTGGTTTCCAACCCGGGACCACTGCTCTAACACTGATCCACTGCCCCTCCCTTCTTACAGTCCTCACCTTCTACTCTAGACATGTTTTGTATTTTAGGAGCTAGTATGATGAAGAATCAGTCCAACGTGTCAGCATGGACAGCACCATCATCACAAAAAAAGTACAGGGTGATTTTTCAAATGAAACTTACATCTGGAGAGACTAGCTTCCTTTCTTGTGTGCATGTCAATGCCAAACAAACAAAGACAACAACATCAACAAAAAACACAAAAGAAACAACAACAACAACAAAAACCGAGCTAATTCACCACAACCCATTGCCTACGGGAATCAGGGCATCGTGTCACGAAACAGTCATACATTGTAAGTACAAGTCCACAAAATCCCATTGAAAAGTGTGGTAAATTTAGTACAAGTTAATTGGATGTTGGCGAATCAGTATGTATGGCAATTTTGTAAAAGCCTGCCCAGATGGTTCCTATTGAGCTTATGGGACGTAAAGAATTCAGAAGTCAATAAATTTAGGTGGGCATTTCACAAATAGAAATATCTTAAGTTGAAATTTTAACCTGCCCCTTTAAACCAAGGAAAATTCAATATCAATCTTCTGTGATTTGTACAACCAGCTGCTGGCTGTGTATCTTCCAGAGGGGAAATTCCCTACAGCAGTGTCATAAATCTTACACTCAATATCAATATCACTCCAATGACCTCCCTGGAATTTGATGATGCACAGGGGACAGTCTAGCTATGTACTGGAAATACCTTTCTACTGGAATCTAAACTTAAAATGGCATCTCACATCTCACAGAGCAGTGCAACCATCATGTGTTACTCTTGACATTTCTGTAGCCATTCCAAAGCAGGACATATTTGAATCAATTTTGCATTTCCCGAACACATCATTTACACAATATTTTACAAATAATATTTGAATGGCAAATTTGTAAATCTGTGAGATAAAGAGGGGCATGAAGTCCATATTAAAGGATAGGAATCTCTTAAACCAGATTTTCAATTATATTTGACATGTACAATATCAATCAAGTAATAAATATGATATACTAGAAATCGTCTTTTATAGAACTATCATTACCTAAAAAAAACACACACCACAACACACACACACACAAACAAAAGTAAATAAACAGGATATAACTAGTCACCATTATACTTTACAATACATGGAACCATTATAAATAATAAAGATATATTTCCAAACAAAACATGATCCACATTTCCTACTGAAACAAAGTGAGTCGTGTATTAAGTCTACATGAGAACAAGAGAATTCAGAAGTAAATGGATTAAAAGAGAACCAATGAGTTGGATTCAAAATTAATCATTTACTCTTACCAGTTTCATGGAGCTCTTGTCTTCAAACGTGTTTGGTTTATCCGTTGCCATGGTCATGCCCATGATCTCAACCGCTTGACCTTGCAGACCATGTTGGATCACAAAGTCTTCGGTGCACAAGATGGCCGCTGCAGCTCCATCTGAAGTAGGGCTGACGAGACAAACACAAAATTAAGTTTCAGATTATTTTAATTTTATTGTTTCATATTCAACACAAATTCAACATCATCATAGAGATATCCTTAAAACAGAAGATTCAAGAGAAATGCAACTTTAAAACACATTTAATCCCTTCAGACTCTGACTCAAAATGTCTTCAAACTTGGCCGTTTCTTCCCTTGCCACTTACAAATATTGTATATTTCAATGAAAAGATACACATAGATCTGTATGGAGATGAAATTGAACTGGTGCCCCCCCCCCCCACAACAACAAAATAAATTGAAAATTAAAAGAAAGAACACATCTTACCAGCACTCCAATCTTGTGAGTGGTTCATAGACCTTTGGAGAGTTTCGGATCTCATCCATGGAGTACTCCTTCTGGAATTGGGAATTACTGGGAAAAAGAAGGGAATTTAATCATTTTACATGCATATGACATGGAAGAAATGCTTGAACAACAGATAAGGATACTAGAATGGATATGATGAGCTTTTAAAATTGATGTTTTTGCTATACAGTTTTTATTTACATGTTTTACATCTTATTCCAATTACGAATTACTGCAAATGAAAACGTAATTCCACTTTTTCAAAAATTGCACAAGGTTTTCTGATTGATAAGAGTTCTATAAATCATATAAATATGAGACTAAAAATAGGAACATATGATTTACATAACTGTCATAATTATATATCTCTGAAGATCATTTCAGCTAAGTGTTTGCTAGACTTTGCTAAGTGTACGATACTCGTGGTGAGGCGATTATCACTATACAACACATTCTCCTGCAACATTCAGTCTGCGGTCAAAACCCACACTTCCTGAAATGCCATTACTTCTAGCCTGCACCAAACACTAAACCTAACCTTAATCGTAAACCTCAGCTAAAACCATATTGCAACCCTAACACTCATCCTAAACCTATATCTTTGATGAAATAAAGCTGGAGTAAATATTGCCAGAGCACTTGTTGGACCCCTTGATATGGGACTTACGGGTTGTTGGTTGAATGCTTGTGGTTCTTGTATGCGATCTTGGCCAAGTGTTCTGGCGTGCTTCCTGTTAATAGTGTAAGAGAAAAATTAACATCATAGTTTCATATTAATAAGAATAAATAATGATAATAATAATATAGCTCTTTCTATATTGCGCACATATGCATTCCAGGGGTGCTCAAGGTGCCCACAAAGTACTTTTGTTAGCCTGGTTTAGCCCAGATGCTCTAAGGAGCTCAAAGCATTCAAGGAATTACTGCAGTAGCGGGACTTGAACTGTGGACAATGTGATTCACAATCTGGTGACATATCCACTTGACCACCACACCTCTATGTTACCTCAAATCTACATAACAATTTTATCTTGCACCATAATGGTTACTGAAATGCTCCTTCACAAGAAGATTTATATAGTATTTGCAAGTATCAAATAATGATAATGGCAATTACAAGGCATATTGAATTTCTTTCATTTTGAAGAGTTGCAATTAATGTTAAGAGGCTGCTGTAAAGACCAATTTGCCTGGTTACACAAGTTATTGATGTTTATTGTGTAACCCCTGAAAGTTAGCAGTTTTCACTCTCGACCATGATATTACAGAAAGAAAATGGTTTTCAACATTCCTTTAAAAAAAGCATTCCTGTACAAAATAGGGTCATAATTTGTTTTAAGCACTACCGGTATATCTTTTCTGAAGCAATTTATGTAAACAATAATGAGATATCTGATTGAACATTGGACCCACTATCAAACTAAGATAATCCAGGTAAGGGCTTTAAATCAAGATAACTTTGTAGTGTTCTTGTCACACAGGTCATACAAATAACAACTGGACAGCAATGACATTTCAGATTACAAAAAAAAGAAAAATATAACTTCTATTTTTAGTTGCCAATTAGCAAACGCTTGTAACAAATAGGTTAGGAAATATAATGCAAACAAGTTTGACATTGTTCTAAAAATATGCACAAGAACTCAGATTTTGACTAGAAAGTCAAATATAAAAACATTATACAGCTGAAAATCATCTACTTTTTTTTTTCCTTCTCTTCTCTTATTAATTCTTCATTTATTTATTTCAATTATTTATTCATTCATTCATTTATCTATTAATTCATTTATTTATTTATGTGGTGGTTTATTTATTTATTCATTTTATTTTCTATATATTTATTTCTTCATTATAAAATTATTATTATTTTCATTATTATTATTTTCATTATTATTGTTATTATTATTATTATTATTATTATTATTATTATTTTTTTTTTTTTATTTATTTTTTTTTTGGGGGGGGGGGGATAAAGACACTCATGGGAAGGGAAAGGGTTATATTTACCAAATTTCTGCATGTGCTCTCTCCCTGCATTTCCAAATAACTGAGCAGCCATAGGGGATGGGGTAATCTCATAAAGCTCAGACATCACCTCAACAAACTTCTGCATGGGATTAGCGCGATCTTCATACTACCAATTAAAAACAAAAACAGGAAGAAAGAAACAATATTAAATCCAAGGATAACATATTATATCAAGAGAGAGGTCATAACTCATGATTAGGGACAATTTTTGTTTCATGCATTACAGAGATGCTGATCAATGTGGCTACAGTAGTTTCATCGAAAAAAGCAGTGGCAGGAACAGATTACATGCTTCCGGAACACATGCAATGTTGAAGTTAGGGATGTCAGTGAATAGAAAAATTCTTATTTGACATATCTGAATGAGGTCTTACAGTAGATTAAGCATAATCAAGGTAGTACATGTAGATGTATTAACCAGCTCCATATTCATTTGGTTCAAGTGCTATTTTGCTTTCTATGCACGTCTTTCCATATCACTACGTTTTGTTAAGGTGCCTATTAAAGTACAACATTTTAATAATACTATATGACTAGAGTAAGGTAGGCCATGGGAAAAAATATCTCGCTTAAAATTTGAGGTCATTAGTTCAGTATAGGAATATATACTAGCATTGTTAGGTTTGTTCCCATGGCAAACATTTCAAGGCCTAAGCAACCAAGGAAACAAGGAATGCAAATTTGAAATTTTAAACTAAAAAGGAATTTCTATTTAAAAAAAATAGTAGCTAAGGTTGCCTTAATAACATTGATAAATTACAGGAAAAAATCCATTCAATTGTATGCAATAGTTTAAGTAATGAGAAATTATTTGTGCATGCGTAAAGGTTTATCTGATTGGTGATGTAACTTGAAAATACATTTTTACTTCACAACAGCAGCAGCAGGAAAAATGGAAAAGGATTTACATTTTTTGAATGTATGTCATCATGAAATTAGCAGTATAATCAAAATATGTATATCAAAATCATGTTGAAAGATGATAATAATCTTTTTCTAACATAGATGGATTTGAATCCTGGGAAACGTTTCACGAAACCGTCATAATTACAAGTACACCTAGTCACCTACCATGGAAATGCGTTTTAAATTGAATACAGGAGTTTAAAATTTAATAAAGGCATTTCATTGGGTTGTCAGCAAAATTGTACTTATGGAGGTTTCCTGAAACACTGCCCTAGTATACTAAGGGTTGGTATGCAAGGATTTTAGAGCTTTTGAAGTACCTGTAAAGTTAAAGAACCCCTCTGCATCTTCTCAAAACCCAGTGCCATGACGCAGTTTGCTCTTCCACCCTCTAACAGCTGCTTGGCCAGGAACAGCGCAGTGGAACCTGTAGAGCACGCATTGTTAACCTGACAGAAAAATAACCAAATGATCAATTAAAATACCGACAAAATTATGCAAAAATTGTAAACATGTTGTTCCTTCATCGTTTGAAAACGTGTACATGTATCTGTGCGTCGTGTAGAACCTTTGAGTGTGAAGAACATGTACTAATTACAATCCTGTTATACCACAGGCACATCAAACAAGACGGGCACCTTGTGGGGGGGGGGGCTGTTTCTCAAAACGGTCATAAGTCTAACTTTCTTGGACATCCAATTGAAACATCACTCGCATTTGGGATGTCCAAGAAGTTAGACTAATCAAAGTTTTGATAAACTGACCCCAGACCAATAAAAGACCTGTAGAACAATATATTGCATTACACTGAATGACAAACAAAAATTGATAGGTCAGAATCAGTTTGACGTTGTAGATGAGGTATCGCATTCAGTTATTATTCCCACATGCCTTTACAAGAACAGACCAACTAGATTGGTGAATGACTTACAAAGGACCTTGTGGAAGTGATCACACTATGTTCATGGACAGGTAACTATTCCAGGGGGTGTTTCACAAAGATTCTAAGTCTAACTTAACTCTAAGTTAGACTTAAAAATTATGGAGAGCCATTTGTAGCCTTAAAAGTATTTGAGACTTTTCATAAATTCCTCATCAAGAACACGATATCTCCTTGATAATAGAAAATATGAATGGTTTGAATCAACATTTTATGCCTTTTAAAATAACTTTTACAAAATATTTTAAAGATGCTAACGGCTTTCCATAATTGTCAGAGATAAGTTTAACTTTGGATCTTTGTGAAACACCCCCCAGGTGTGTACATGTAAGTAGATGTAACACAGGCCTTGTCGGTGACGATTTAAGAACTTGGAATAAGAGATGAAATACAAAGGGAGTCTAAGAATACTCACATTATAGATGGGAATGCCTGTCATACCGATCTCATACACAGCCCTCTGTCCGCATGTCGTATCCCCATAGACATATCCGCAGACGGCCTGTTCCACTGCATCAAAAGGTAGTCCAGCATCCTTGAGGGCTGCCTGGCCAGCTTGCTTGGCTAGGTCATGGAAGTCTCCATCGGCTTTGCCAGGCTTGAAGAACTTCAAAGAGAAGAGAAAATTGAGAAAAGTGATTACAAAATGCCCCCAAAAGTCACATTTACACAAATCATATAATCTGACTCTGACATACATGTACATGAGAAGTCTGATTATCTGAGTTACTTTTGCAAATTATGAAATTATTACAGATTATACCTATTTTAAAAAAAGGGGGAAATAAATTTTGTTTAAACTAGCCTTTGCTTACCTTCTGGCCATACATCTAGAATTTGCTATTTTCCTATTCCCTACAAGTAATACAGTCAAACCTGCTTTAGTGACCACCTGTCTACAAAGACCACCTGTCTACAAAGGCCACATTTTTTGTTTCCCATGAAAATGGTTTCTCATTGAATCATGTACTAAAGGAACCTGTCTACAAAGACCACCTGTCTACAAAGGCCATTTTTTGTGTTTCCCTTGGGTGGTCGGCTGGTCGCTATAGACAGGTTTGACTGTATTTGAATATTTCCTCAACAAGCACAACTGAGCTGAGGTGTTCACAGCTTCATAGATTTAAGGAACAATAACACATTACAATATTCATATCACACTATGATGGTGGTCCCTGTAGACAGATGAAGACCTACAGAAAGTAATTTGAACTTTCATGAACATTGATTTTATGCAGCAATAAATGTTCTACAAAGGGGCGGATCAAGTCAATGGCTAGGGAAGGGGGCCAATTCGTGAGAAAACATTTAGCGGCGCATCAGCAGGGACTAGTCTAAGAGAATAAAATCAACATCCCTCCACATGACTACCATGACTACTACGAGCCAAAGGTTGAAAAATGATGTACATATGCAAATTGGTAGGAAAGAACTACCCGGTAGATCTAAGTCATTAATATTTACCTTAGATTTGTATTCCAATAACTTGATTTCCTCATGAGTATTCCTTATGATTTCATTTTCAGTCAGAGATCTACTGTACAATCATGACAATAAAAAAGAACGACCTCCAAAATCCAGCTACAGCGCAACACATTATTTAATCCCTAGAATGATACTACATAGTACATGCATGCATATCACACATACGTACCTGGATATTTCTCTCTCTCGCTCTTTCTCTAGCTATACAAAATGTACGTGACAACTAGACTATATGTATCATGCACTCACATCATGTAGATCTAGAAGTAGAGTCTAGAACTTAGAAGAAGCCTTACGCCCTGGTATTGCTATTGGCCTCCCTAGCTATAGTAGATCTAGATTTAGCTGTCGTTTTTTCACAATTTCTTCAATATACTTACTTACTTTACTTTACTTTAATCCATCGATGTTGGTAGGACAGAGCCTGTTCATCGATCGATTGAATTCCTTTGCATCAATACTTCTGTTGTTGTGGTTTCGTGTCGAGGTGTGTGTGTGGAGGGTGGAATAGTTCTGCATTCTTCTATTTACTTTCAAAGTCATATACTGAAGGTGAATTCTTCCAATAGTTATCGAGTTTGTTTTTGAAGGCATTTACAGATGGGGCATTAACCACTTCTTCAGATAGGCTATTCCATGTGTCCACTACTCTATTCGAGAAAAAGAATTTCCTGATGTCCAGATGTGAAAATGTCTTCTCTAGTTTCAGAGTATGGCCTCGTGTTCTGTTTTCCTTGCATAAGTGTAGTAGGTTTGTCTGAGTGGTGTATAAGCCATGGAGGTACTTGTAAACATCAATCATAATCATATCTCCTCTCTTTCTGCGATGGGCAAGAGACGGTAGCTTCAGGTATCTCAGACGTGTTTCGTATGGAAGATTTTTCAGTCTAGGTACCATCTTTGTAGCTCTTCGTTGGACACTTTCAATTCTCTTTTGTTCACCTATCCTGTATGGTGACCATGCAGCTTGTCCGTACTCCAAGACAGACCTTACAAGGCCTATGTACAAGAGTTTGAAAGTGTCCGTGTCCATGTTTGCGAATGATCTTCGTATCACCCCCAGTAGCCTGTTAGACCTGGATATAACATGGGAGATGTGGTCTTTGAAGGTCAGCTTAGAATCAACAAGCACACCAAGATCCCTTTCCACTTTAGATTCTTTCAGGATTGTAGTTTCATTGCCATTCTTCATGCGATAATCATAACTTGAGGGGGACCTGCCTATTTTCAACACAGTACACTTCTCTGGGTGAAATCTAAGCTGCCATGTATCTGACTAGCCTTAAGGGCTCTCTCGAAATGTTTTTTTAATGATATTATTCGATAGAGCCTTAAACGGCTCCCATACCCCTGCACGGAGAGGCATGTAAACAAAACTCAAAAGTGGTCCAAAATCACACTTTCGCGCACCCGACCAATATTGGACAGTGGCTTTGATAAATTTTGTCCGAGTTTTGGTCTTAATTAGCGCTTTAATTTCAAAATCGGATCTAAAAATAACAAAATAAGAGCAATTTTCTTACCAGACCGATACAGCTCAGCTCCCTTTTCACGTGTACCGTGTGAATTCACGATGTCTACACAATGGTGATGACCTCTGACTGGCACTTCCGTAATTGTGGGTAAATTGTGCTGCTTCCGTATAATGCGCTGTATGAGTGTTATTCAGCGCATTATACGGAAGCAGCACATTTACGAAGTGCTAGTCAGAGGTCATCACCATTGTGTAGACATCGTGAATTCACACGGTACACGTGAAAAGGGAGCTGAGCTGTATCGGTCTGGTAAGAAAATTGCTCTTATTTTGTTATTTTCAGATCCGATTTTGAAATTAAAGCGCTAATTAAGACCAAAACTCGGACAAAATTTATCAAAGCCACTGTCCAATATTGGTCGGGTGCGCGAAAGTGTGATTTTGGACCACTTTTGAGTTTTGTTTACATGCCTCTCCGTGCAGGGGTATGGGAGCCGTTTAAGGCTCTCTCGAATAATATCATTAAAAAAACATTTCGAGAGAGCCCTTAAGGCTATATCTGACCATTCCTGCATCTTTATCAGATCATCCTGCAATTTCTGGGAATCTTCGTCGGTGTCACATCTGGCATACAGTTTCGTGTCGTCTGCAAAAAGCTTAATTCTGGACTCTATGAAATCAGGAAGATCGTTTATGTAGATCAGGAATAACAGCGGCCCGAGTACACTCCCTTGCGGAATTCCACTCTGCACTGATGACCATTCCGACCGTTGACCCTTCACTACTACACGCTGTCTCCTTCCGACTAAGAATGCTTTGATCCATCCCAGTGTCTCATCCTGGATGCCAAAGGCTTCAACTTTCTGCAGCAATCGATAATGGGGTACTGAATCAAAAGCTTTCATAAAGTCCATGTAAACTGCATCAATGTTACCTCCCTCTTCTAAGATATGTGTCCAGTCATTGAGTACTTCCAACAGATGGGTGGTACAGGAACGACCAGCAACGAAGCCATGTTGGTGTGCAGACAACATCTCATTTGTTGATAGGTGTTTGATGATCAATATAAGCTATTGAATTTATTATAATTTTCATGGAACATAAGAACAAGTTATTAAATAGTCTATAAGTAATTAAACTAGTGAAATTGATGAAAACAGAAATTTCATCACGCGGGACTACGTGCAAAAACGCTTGATAAATGTACGAAAAATAAAGCTTATATTTACCTTCGTCATGCCCACTCCGACAACAAAAACTCGCTGAAGATTGGCCATCACTTTTGCAGTCTCTGCTAATGTTGAAAACGATGTAAAATTGAATTGTCCTCTGTTGTGTTTTGAGGGGTTAGACTTAAATCCACGTTTACCGACTGCGGAATGAATTTGCTGCTGCACCTGTCGTATATATATAGGGACGTACCGTACCCTGCCCGGTTTCCGCCCGATGGGCAGTTTTTCTCAGATAACTTCTCTGAAAATGAATTATACAGGCGCTAATGTATACCAATTTGTTGCCGAAATTCTAGCAAATCTAGCTATGCCATTCTTACGCCCGAAATCATAAGCGATTGTCCGTAGCGCGCCGTCTGCGTGAGGCATTTTCCTTGCCTAATTCCGCCTAGACCCGCCCTAATTCCGCCCGATGGTGGGCGCGCATCAAAAGTATAGAAAAAGGAAACATCTCGGGTACACGTTAGGCCTTGAAATCAAATTGCTTCCCAGTAGAATTCGATCTACATGTTATTTTGATAATTGATATTTCTTTCTTTATTTCTTCCCTTGCCTCTGTAACGTAGGCCTAATGCAAGTGCACTGTTATTTATCAGTTTCTGATCTGGGAAAAACAATTTTTTACTGCCTTTGGAAAATCCTGCGACTTGTCTATGATGTTTTAATAATGTGTTCAGTCAAATCTTCAGTGTTCTATCGCTAATCGGGAGAGGGGAAGAAAAAAAAAATCCACAATAACACATTTTGTCAAAAAAAAACTACCACTATTAAAGTAAACACTTTGGAAAGAGAGTAATGGCACTTCATTTTTTTAACTTTTTTTTTAAACTGCAAATTATTCTCGACATCTCTCAAATCTTGATTAAAAAATAAATTAGCGTATATTTTTAGGATATTGGTTGGAAAAGCATAGCATTTTCGTCATAGGAATTATCATCATCGCCGACATCGTCTTAATCATCATCATTACAATTTTAGGGTAGGCCTATGTGACGCAAATGTGGTTTCCTGTTTGATTATTTGTTCAAGACTTCAAGTTGTTGTGTTTTTTGTTTTCTAGTTGTTCTAAATTATGCAGTATTTTATGCATTCAATAATAATAGTTCAACTTGAAAGATAAAACTTTCCGAAATGATCTTAAAAACGAAGTCGTCGATTCACTTCCAGGGGGGGGGGGGGGGGGGGGGGGGTAGTAGTGAGCACATTTTTTTTTTTTGATCCTAAAAAAAAACAATTTGCACCCCCCCCCCAAAAAAAGGTAAAAATCACGGATTTTACATGATTTTTTCTCAAGGGGGGGGGGGCCCGGGCCCCCCGGGATCCGCCACTGCCCCAACCCCCCCCCCCCAACATTTTCTACATAATGCTACATGTTAAATTCATCCATTCATCTATTTATTTATTCAATATTCATTCTTTTTATTGCCGAGAGATATTTATGTTATGGATAGAGATGAAAAATGTTCACCTTTTATTCGCCATAAAACTTTCGCAAAACTAACAACGTAAGAATCACCTTAGCAATTTGAAAGGCCTGACAGGCGTATGCCCTTAATGTATTATTTATACTACTCTTTCGATAGCCATTCATATAGGTTTATTTCACATGAAACAACAGACTGGGATTTTAGTTTCTAACTTTCTACCCCTATATTTATTTTATTCACAGTCAACTGAGGGAAATTTATGGCAGCGAAAATGTCATGATTCATGTTGGTCTTGTGGTAAAATTAGATAACACACAAACAATTGAAAAAAAATTGAAAAATAATTATAGCCTAAAGCATAGAAGTATTAAGAAAGAAGGATATAAAATTGAAGAGGGAGACTAAAAGAAAAATGGGGAAAAGGAGGGGTGTAATCGAAGAAACATCCTGTATCGTATTATAAACAAGCACTCTTTTCGCTACAAAGCCACGACGCTGGATTAAAAGGCGACACAACATGAATACAAACTTTTTGCAAATCTATACCAACCCTGGCAACTTTTTTAAAAGCCGGACCTATTTTTTGTCATTGGGATCACTGTCGGAGAACCGAACTTCAAGCATTTCTTAATATCAATCATATCTAATTTGTCACAAAATTTAACTTCATGACTAGTAGGCCTACATTAAATTACAAATCAATAGACCACATCGTTACCCGAAATTGTCGGTTGCTCGAACGAACGGCCAAACATCATTGCAACATTCTTCGGGGGGAGGGGGGGGGGGGGCTTCAATCCCGGCCTCCCACCTTATTCGCCTATCATAATAAGGACAATTACACCCCAGAAAACTACTCCCAAGGATAATTACCCAAATGACAATTACCCCTCGACGACTCAAACTACGCCCAGAAAATTACCCCCGATGACGATTACCCCCATCTCTGAAACTTAACCCCTATATAGGACATTGACCCCCCCCCCCCCCCCCCCGGGACAACCAAGAACAATACCCCCTGTTCATTAAAGGGAAGTCAACCCCGATAATAAGTTGGGTAATTTTTAGGGGGAGATCATTTTCAGGGTGGGGGGGGGGGTAAAATTATTATCTATCCCAACATCGTATAAACGATGTTCACACAGGGAAAATTTTCTATAAACATGTTTAAAACTGTTGAGTTAAACACGTTTATACTAATCATCTCTAGATACGATGAATTTTAGCTGTGTGTGAAAAGGCTGCATGTTATTGCAATGACGACCTTCGTCATTGCCTTGTTTTCGTTCACATTCTGCCCCATAAATATTCTTCTTATCTTCGTCAGAAAATCGCATTCGTTTTGCACGTAGTGCTTGTTATTCCTAGTTAGGTGCTTTTCTCATGTCCATTTCCTTTCAAATTTCGTATGGTCAAGGGTGAGTTTATGTTACCCCTGGGGGCAATATGTCTTTCTACACAGCCATTCTCAATGTTTTCAAAGTAGTAGGCGTCATGATTCTCAGTATCATTATATGGCTGTATTCCTCTTTTGTTATGTACATAACAAAAGAGGAATACACCCTTGACCATTTTATTATTGTTTTGGTTTCGGCCAGGAATACAGACTGGTCAAATGGCCTAATCCATCAAAGTTATGAGTCATGTTTCGGGCTATACTGTAGGACTGGTAGGATTTCCCTGAATTCAAGTTCGGGGGGAACATGAAAGGAAGTGGACCTGTTGACCAATGGGAATTTAATATTGTATGACCCTTCCCACTTTCTCAAACTGTTGCCCACTGGCGTACCTATGGGGGGCAGGGGGCAGAGTGCCCCCCCCCCCCCTGACGGGCTCCAGGGGGGAAAAAGAAAAAGGGGAAAGAAAAGAAAAGAAAGGAAAGGAAAGAAAAAGAAAAAGAAAAAGGGAAGAAAAAAAAAAGGAAAGAAAGAGAAAAAAGGAAAAAAAGGAAAGAAAAAAGGAAGAAGAAGAGAAAAGAAAGAAAAAGGGAAAAGAAAAGGAAACGAATAAAAATGGGGAAATTTTTAAAAAAAGACCATGGTCGTACGCACCAGGGGGGGGGGGGCAGTTGACCCCAGATATTTTGAAAACGTACAGTTTTTTTCCTGAAAATGTAGTGTAGGCCTATACCAAATCCTTCAATTCTACTTTTGAAAATGCAAAAGTACCCTCTTGACCAGTTCGGTCGCTCGAACTCCCTTCACTCCTTTTGCTTTTGAGATTCTTCGAAAACTTTTAACGCATCTTTCCCCCTCCCCCACCAGAAAAATATTCCGCATACGGCCCTGAAAATTAAAACAAATGAAAATAGGAAAATATAAGTGATATAACAAATTCGAAACTCTTCGCTGGCGCGAACTGCTTGCTAGCCTATTTTGTATTAAATGTTTTCACTTGCTCGTCCCCCTGAAAAAAGAAAAGGATTAGTATTGCCTAGAATACAATTGTGCCTGCCCCGACCTGCAACCATGGCAACAATAACACACAATACAGTGCGTCCCAGAAAAAGCGAAACCGAGAAGTATCGATGTTTTATCATAACTTAATCACAACCATAATGAATGAATGATACATATTTGGAAAGCTTAGAGTCTCCTCTTTCAGTTGATGCTACTCCGATGATGCATATTTCACGCATGAGTGATTAAAAGCAATTTGAAGGAAGGAAACCAAAAAGACATTTGGCGGGCGGTATCTGAATTTCGAAGAAAAATTCACATTTCTAGAAAGTTGAGTTTCTGCCCTTTCATATGACACCTCAATCAGGAAAAATGAGCGAGGAATAACAAAGTTCTGTTTGTTTAAAGTAGCCCTTACATGTTCATAATTTTAACAAACGAATTCGTTTTCACTGGGTGCTTGCCGTAGCAAAAAGCAGATTTGACAAAAGACTTAACTCCGTTTCGTTGACAATCAGCCATGCATGAAGACTCTCGTCTACGGCTGATTGTCAATGAAACGGAGTTAAGTCTTTTGTTAATTTCGTTTATTGATACGGCAGGCAGCCAGTGAAAACGAATTCGTTTAATAAAATTATGGAAATGCAAGCACTACTTTAAACAAACAGAACTTTGTCATTCCTCGCTCATTTTTCCTGATTGAGGTGTCATATAAAAGGGCAGAAACTCAACTTTCTAGAAATGTGAATTTTTTCTCGAAATCTAGATACCGCCCGCCAAATGTCTTTCATATGGCTCCGTTTAGTCTCATTTCACAACGCCCCCTATCGTCAGAGCATGGTCAGATTCAGCAGCCTAACATGTTAGCCTATGGACGTTTTTTTTTTAAAAATCGTTAAAAATTCATTTTTTGTTTAAACGAAAAGCACATCCACCCCGACGTACGTTATCACTAGCTCTTTCATTGGAGCCCTCATGTCTAATTGACTTTTGAAAGTTCACCCACCGTAATTTTCAAAATAGGTTGCAAGCTCGTCATTGCCTATAAAACACATGTGAAACAAGTCTAACTTTGGACTCAGTTTACCAAGCGATTTGAAGATTATAGGTCGAGCACACGAAACATAAAAAGCATGAATTATCATAGATCACTTCTGCCTATTTCGTTTTGTCCATTTCATCCAACCCCCCACCGTAATTTTTCCATTTAGTAAAAGCAAACATTTTGCCGAGTTTAGCAAAACATGAATATTCATGAACGGTCAGACAATACAGCCTTTTAGTACGTAACGTATAGTGAATGGGAATGTGCGATGATCCGTGTAGGAGGTAGAGGTCAGTGGTTTGTGCTGGCAATGTTCACGCGAGCGAAAATGAGACAATCGGAGCAATATGTTGGTTTCCTTCCTTCAAATTGCTTTTAATCACTCATGCGTGAAATATGCATCATCTGAGTAGCATCACATGAAAGAGGAGACTCTAAGCTTTCCAAATGTATCATTCATTAATTATAGTTGTGATTAAGTTATGATAGAACATCGATACTTCTCGGTTTCGTTTTTTTCTGGGACGCACTGTATATGTAAATGTTGCTAAAAGAGACTAATTCATTTTTCTAGCTCGCTACACTCGCTCGCAAATAAAATGAATAGACATTGCTTTGGAAACAATTGTGCCCACCCTTGACCT